CCTCCTAGTAGGTCATTATAAAATTAGTAAAAATGGTTTTAAGTTTAAATTACAACTGGCTGCTTATTTTGCGTTTTGCACCAGGGCAGAATTGGAAAACGTTTAATATAATTACCCATCTTGCGGTTATGTCCTTAGATTTTTTAAGTCACAGTTGTCGCAGTGATATATTTTTTGAATTAAGCACCAACTTTTGGAGGATAAAGGGCTAAATTTTCTTAGTAAGACATCATTTAGAAAACACATATGTGTCTGTATATACTGGCTTTCATATGATTTAAAATTCATAACTTATTACAACGAAAATAAAATGCAAATAAATCTTGAGATATGACCTTATGTGTTATGGCTACCGAAGTTTATTTAGTAGATTAATTTGAGGTATTTATGTTGAAGTTTACGTTTTCGATGAATTTTAAGGTTGTCGTATTTTTCACTGTATCTGAAATCTTCCAAGACTTTAAACGCTTTTCTGTAACGACTTTTGATCAAGATAGACTGCGGTTTTACGTTATCCGCACTAGTTTACAGATGAACACATGAACAATATCTGAAGCTTGAAATCCACCTGCTGTTTTACGTTTCTACTGTAAAAATTACTGATTCAAAATGTTTTGTGTAGTTTGGTTATAAAATAGGGACTGAGAGTGTATGTAGTATAGTTTGTGGATACGAATGATTCTAGTTAGGGTCGTTGTTGAGAAAACATTCAGTTATCAGACAACAGGAGTTTTTATAAAAACACACGAAGGTTGGGCTCCACAACGAAAGTGAAGTATACTTTTAATTAATTTTGACCGAGGACACAAATATTGACCTAAAGAGTCATGATTTAGACTTTACATCTCATGCAGAGTTAAAGTCGGTCAGAAACGAAGGGAGAAGAACAGGATCCCCGCTTGCGTACAACTACACATTAGTCGATAGGGAGTTAACACGAAGTCACCATTTTGGCTCGCAGAACTCTATCTCAAGGTTCTGTAGTGTGAATACGAGAAAACGCAGTATGTAACATCATTCTGATTTCACTGGTAATGACGATTAGTGGTTATGAAATACAGAACATCATTAACTTCGTACACTATCTGGCAACTATCTTGCTTATTGTTAACAGGACTCGAATAGTAGAGTACGGAAGTGTTGTCTGCACACACATTCATACAAACAACAGAGACAGAGAGTGAGTGATTATTACGATCGGTTGCAATGTTTTTGTAATGTTGTTAATGTTTAAATAAAAAGCTAATAAGAGCAAAGACAACAAACACACAGGCTAGTCACACCCAATTCACTTTAACTCGATTGACGAGGTCATTGTAAACAAAGGCATATGCAATCGTCACCAAACATTTGTTCAAGTTAAGTGACCCACTTAGTGGATGGCGGTGTTTAAACAAAATTATATTGCACAAAGTTGCAACAAGAACGAATACAAGTAGGAAATAAATCTCATTGCTTCAATCAATCTTGTGAGGAAATTAGAAAAATCGGACCAACCTAAAATCAAACACGCTCATGATAGAGAAAAAACGGAACTACGTTTGTCTGGAATTAATTTAGACGCAGGTTAAAGCAGACAAGAAAACATTCTGAAATACTGGTCTTTGTATATATAGCTCTTGAAGGTAAGTTAATGTCGGCCGTTGAATATTGTCTGATATCACTTCAGTCAAAACCAAACGGAAGATATATCAAGAATAACTTCTAGGTTGCCTATGATATAAAAATGCTCGGCGAATGTTGACCAATCTCGTCTTAAATCAACTGAATAGGGAGAAGGACGGTTGAAACTGAATAAACTGTTATTCAGTAATTCAAATATAATTAGATAATATACCAAATGCTACTAAGCGACTGCGGAATTCCCAAATATTTGAAGTTAATTCTGATGGTAAATATTCGTGGTACTTTATATCACATCACTCCATTCATTTCAAACCTATGAACTGAGACAGTCACCACTCAATTATGACTGCTCGACGACCACGACCGGGAAAGACCAAATTTCAAGGATTGTCAGAGGTACGTGTTAGGCGAGTTTTGAAAGTAGTTCTAGCTGAACTAGCACCCGGGTGACAAATCCGTCTTGAAAGTCAACGCTACCGAAGAATATGTGGATACATTCTTCCATTTAAGAATTTGTACATCGATTCTCACAGTAAATGATCTGTTTTGTAAGTCAGCGTCATCAGTAGACAAGTTAGAGAAATAATTAAACTTATACCTGCAATTGAGAGTTAATTAGCACATAGGTGTGATGCTAATGCCGAGTTCCACTTGCTAAGGACAGTAACATTTGCATTGAGACACCTTTTTCTGTAACTCTTCTATTTCTACGTTGTGCGCTGCTAAAAATTTAAAATAATTCTAAATGCATCCAGAAGGAAACTTATTGATCACTCGACTTAGTGGAAAGGGGCTTGTCCGTTTGTGGTTAATGACTCTGATGCTTCATTATTCTGGTGTTTCCAGAACAGCTTTCCCAATTGTAGCAGAAAGTAATTCATTCACATGCATAAGGTCACGTGTGACTCGCGTATAGCTGTAGTCTATGATTCTTGGTCAATACTTATCCTGTCATCAACACATTTACAACATGAAAGGTTGCCATTTCATCACAACAATACGAATAAGTGAGCTAAATTTTGAAGATATTTTATAGATGAAGGTGTAATGTTCAAGTTTTTCCTCTTTCCCGTATTGAAATACGGTGTATCGATCTATTTGCAATTTACGAACCCAAATTAACAATAGAACCAATTTAGGTACCAAAGTTAATTCGCAATTTACAAATAGTCGATCTAAATGTTGTTCTTCAATTTTGTAGGTTCCTGTAGTAAACCAAAGACAAAGAGAAAACAAAATGTCTGAAAATAATGATATAAACAAACAAGTTCAGAAGTTGAGTAAAACAAATACAACCAAAAACAGTGAAATTAAAAAAATTTAATATAAAGGTTTTATTCAGCCAAATGTCTTCAGTTCTCCTGTAGCAATAAGATCAGAACGAAGAAGCGTATGTGTGTCACCGTTTATAAAATATTGAGATACACTATTACAATGTTCGATTGGTTTATGAGTCGCGCCTATATATAAACAACTGTTTTATTTACACAACTGATATTTAACTTAATGAAAAGATGAGAGACAGAAGCAGCCAACGCAGTGTCAAAAGAGTTGAAATGCACTCAGTCGACATGTTACAGAAGCTTGAATATAAGAGATGAAGTTGAGAAAAAGTAACAAAATAAAGTCATTATGAGAAAATATCATTTCCATATACCTGGTATTACGCATGGAGAGGCGTAGGCTACTTATCAGTGTTCTCCATCGAACTATATACTGAACAATCCTTCACAGTTGCTTCCAATCACTACACACTTTTTGATATGTGCTTTCAATTCTTGATACAATGTGTTCCTTAGTCTTCCTCCCTTTCGTTTCCCTTCAGAGTTCCAAGTAAGCCCCTGCCTCGTGATGCAGTTTGGTAATTTTCGGGATATATATCCTACCCAGATCCAACGTCTTTCATCAACTCCCTCTTCAGCTGGAAGCTAATTTGTTCTCTCCCTCTCTCTCCCACAGTAGGTTGTTAATGGTATCCGGTCAGTGGACCTGGATTATCTTGCGTAGACAATTGTTTATAAATACCTGTACCTTTTTGGTGATGGTTTTGGTAGTTCTTTAAGTTTCGGCTCCACACGGTAGAACTTTCTTGATGTTTCTATTGAAGATTCTGACTTTGATGTTGGTTGACAGTTGTTTTCAACTGAAAGGATGTGATCCTTGCTTTGTCGGTCCGTGCCGTTACTTCTGCATCGGATCCTCCTTGTTCATCAATGATGTTTACCAGACACGTGAAAGTTTACACCTATTCCAGAGCTCCGTCAAGTGTGAATGGGTTGATATTCTCTGTATTGTATTCGAGGATCATGCTTTTTCCCTTGTATATGTTGAAGCCTACTGATTCATAGATTGCTGCTACACTAGTTTTCGTCACCTACATTTGTTGATGTGTATGTAATAGAATGGCTAGGTTATCTGCGAAGTCCCAATCATCTAGTTGTATCCAACCTGTGGATTGCATCCCGTGCTTCTCCTGAGATGTGGAGGTCCTCACGATCCAGTTGACCACTGGAAGGAAAAGAAATTGAGAGAGTAAGCATCCTTTTCCAATTCCTATCTTCACTTGCGATGCATCTGTCAGTTGTCCTCCACGCACCACTGTGCAGTGTAGTCTATCGTATGAGTTTCCGAGGATGTTGACAATCTTCTCAGGTACACCATATTGCGAAGAGGGTTCCATAAGGTTCTCCTGTTCACGCCGTAAAACGTCTTTTCATAGTCGAGGAAGTTGATGTATAATGGCGAGTTCCATTCAACCGATTGCACAACGATGATCTGTAGTGTCGCGATTTGGTCTATGCACAACCGACCCTTATGGCGTTCGGTCTGTTGATCTGGAAGTTGGACGTTCATTCAGTTCGGCAACATTCTGCTGAAAACTACTTCTGGTACCGATAATTGTGTGATGCCTCTGTAGTTCTCACATTTGCTTAGATCTCCTTCTTTTGTTTTCTTGATGAGGTACCTTGAGTCCTCCGAGTTTGTCGGTATCTGGAAGGATGACTGTATTAAACTTTCACAATTCTGTCTCTCTCTGTCCAGTGTTTCTTCGATTTCAGTTTCATCGTTGCCACAACTAGGTGGTGATCCGAAGCTATGTCAGCTCTTTTCTTGGTTCTCACGTTTTCCATGGATCCTCTGAATTTTTTATTGATGCAAACATGGTCGGTCCTGTTCTCTGTAGTTTGGTCCGGTGAAACCCATATAGCTTTGTGTATACGTTTGTGGTGGGAAATTATGTCACCTGTGGCCATGTTGTTGAAAACACATTAATCTATAAGTCCCTCACCATTCTTGTTCCCTCCTCCGATTCCATGTCGTCCCATGACAACTGCAACCCCACTTGGTGAATGCATAACACTGGATAACATTCATTGTGATCCTTTCCTTTGTTTTGTAGAATGTTTTGACGGTTCTACATCCATGAGACTCCCATCCTAACAGTGCTTTCCATGCTTCTTCAGACAGCATTATAGCAAATCGCTCACTGTGAGTAGCACCTTCCTCATCGTGCCTAGGGTACATCAGCATCTCTACCGTATCTAGCCTATCCTGATCAGCTTGGATGCAATGGGTTGCACCAGCTGTTGAGTGGCTTGTTAAATTGGGTCAAGAATTACAGCTCATGTGCAATGTCGTTGAAATCGTTCCAGATAATCCTATCGTCATCATGCGTTGGGATGGATATCAACCGGAATTACCAGCAATCATGTTAAATTCACATATGGACGTAGTACCAGTAGTCGAAGAAAAATGGTCATATCCTCCATTCAGTGGTACAATTACACCTGATGGTAAAATATACGGTCGAGGTACTCAGGTAATTAAATCTCATGATTATACTGTTCGCTAGAACAGCATAAATATTCACTTTTTACTCAAATGTAAATAGTTATTATGATAAACTTATTATAGTTGAACTAGTAGATCGATATGATTGTAATTATAAGAAGTATTTTACTGTAATTTTTGTTGTTGCATGTTAGTAACTAGTTTTCTGTGCAGGCTTGGTTTAACCATTCGTGTAATCGTATACATCTTATGGAATTTGAGTTATATAGGTGGTCGTCTACACGTTAATACAAGTCTTCGCTTTTAACAGAAAAAACTGCTACTTTAACATTTGTTCGTGAAACAATCGGCGAATTTTCCGTAAATCCCGAGTGACCTCGTGTCAAACTAGTCATCATCAACTTAGGACCTTGCAAAATTTTACACTAACCCCAATTCCCATACCATATCAGCACCTTGCGGGAAAATGCACTAAATCAACAACAAGGCAGTCGGGGTAGTATTTGGAACCTAAATTCTGTGGGATTATAGATTGACTAATGGCACACTTCAGTCGTATTTAAGCTGAAACTGGTGCGAAAATTTATTGTACTAACGCATAAGATTGTCCAATTTACATATATATGCATGGTTTATTTTGTCTATTGTGGTGCAATAATTATGGATTTAGAACTGTAAAGCCTGGTGATCGAGTTAGTGGAAACAATTATTTCTTCAGGTATTCCTTGTTCTTAAATACTGAATACATTCTGCACTCCTGCCTCCTATCTTGAGCCATGACACCTAAGGCTGCCGGTTATCAGTCACGATTATTGCTCAGACTCTATCCAGGTAGTTTTCACATACACACACAGCCTAAACCAATGGTCATTGACTTAATATACTGGGACCTCAACTTAATTTGTCTGCCTTAGCTTTCTTATTCATTTTGGCTACAATTCCATCTAACAATCTTGTGGAATCTTTTAACTGTGCAAATACGTATTGATATTTTTTCTAGTCTGTAAACTAGATTCTGAAAGGAAACACTAAGAACATCCCTTTTGAAAGTGAACGTTTCATTCAATAAAAATTTTAATAGTTGAGATCATGAGTCTGTAGCGTGGTGTCGAGTTGAGGTTAACTATGAACACCGCTACAAAGAAACACGTGCCAAGCGAATCAGAAGGCGTAAGAAGCTCGTTCCAAATGACTCCATAAAATCCCCGAGAAGCCGAATATCAGAAGGCAATTGATGGACCAAGTCGATGTTTATTTGCTGGCGATCTCGTGGCATCCAAAGGATACCGAGATCGTGCCAGGATACAACCTTGGTTACAGAAGGTAACCGAATTCGCGCGAAGTTACAATCAAAGTGTAAGTAAAAGAATGGAAGCCCAAAATAGCTGTCATTAGCACAGTCAAACAAAAGCACGTTAAAACAAACACTGGTACAGTTGGTTATAATAATAATTGTTTTTATTAAACCAGTCGTGTTCTCGTGATAAACGTGAGTCACTACAAGTCAGTTAAAGCTAGACCACCATGGAAAACCTGAAAGCATTGAACGGCCGTTTCGTCCCACTGTGGGACGCCTCAACAATGCGCACCCACGATCTCGCCTAGCGGAATTCGAATCCAGGACCTACCAGTTTCGTGCGCGAGCGCTTAACCTCTAGACCACTGAGCCGGCATCCAACGGTGGTAATGTCTAACTCCAACTAGTCCGCGAAATTGAGCGACACATCCACCATCTCGCGAGGTGAGATCGTGGATGCGCACTGCTGAGGATTCCCACAGTAGGACGAAAAGGCTGTCCAGCGCTTCCAGGTTTTCTATGGTGGTCTAGATTCAATTGGCTCATGATCTCAACTACTAAAATTACTATAATATCCACAACAAACCCCCTCTGATAATAAAAATTGTGTTACTATGTTTTTAATCAGATGAGTTCATATTTTACACCTTGAAAACTATTCCTTACCTCGATAGTTTCAAATAAATTGAGGATTGGGCAGAAGGCGAATAATAAATATATTTTTGTGAACTGACTGTCATGTGGCCACAAAATGTCAGATACAATATTCTACTCGTTGAGATACCTCAAAAATATATTTACTATTATTCCGAACCTACTTCAGAACGGATGTAATTTACCTAGTATTTATGGTAACAATTTTCCATGTTGTGTTGCAAACCACCCTCATTACTTATTGCAAACTCCAACTTACGATTTTCTCACCAAATTTGCCCATCCCAGGTGTCATTAAAGATGCTTTCTCCCTATTATTTTTCCATCTTTTGATAAGTTATTTTTTTCCTTACTCTTAAGGACATTGTAATTATATTTATGCGTAATAGTTGTTATCCTACTTTAATCTTTTTTAGTGTTATTAATAAAATTAACACTCAAGACTTAACTGTTTTCTTAACTGGAGATCATGAACTAACATAGCAAAATATCTACATTCATGGCTTAGTAGATTAAAGCTAGAAGTATGATACATTAGTATTATGTACAGTTTAGTTTGTCAACATATTTTTAAAAATTCAATTGTACATATCACATTGCAAAATAAATTCTTCTAAAATAAGTTTTTAAAACTGCTATGAACTATCCATATATCACCCATTTGACGCTCTTTCTGAAAAATTTCGGATTCTATGTATCTTTTTGCTATTTTAATATTGGTGTAGGGTGTGTGTGTGTGGAGATTTTTGAATTTTCTTCTGTACGTCACGAACTGACCTTAGTTATCTAACTATTAAAGACTGAGGAGCACTGTAAAACTGTTTCATCTTAGTATGATACTCCCCATCTTACTAGTAACTGATTTACAAAGACAGTTTTCCTATATACGTTGTAAGGACGTAACCGGAGGAGTCCAACCAGGCCAAGAGTGAGGAAGTTGTCCACCAATCGGATTGGAAAATGACCGAGTAATATCACGAATTGATTAAAATCAGTAATGTAAACCATCGGATCCCAACTCAGTTTTCTAAACTTCAATGATTCACTGTGAGACCTGGAAGTTTTCAGCCCGATTTCCGATAGTGTCGTCAGTGTTCACTTGGAAGTCCTATACTGGAGTGGAATCGATGTTTTCGATAGTTGTCTAACCAACATCAGTTTGTAATGTAGACTGAAAAGTTAGTTTATTACTTGTGAAATTTTAAAAAACATCATTGAATACTCTGTCCTGAGATGTTATTTAACCTGTTATGCTATTCATATTCGTTTGTTGAAGGATATGAAATCAATTGGTATCCAACAGTTGGAGGCTATTCGAAGATTAAAATCACGTGGATGCAACCAGTTGCGTCGTACAGTTTACTTGACTTTTGTACCTGACGAGGAGTTAGGTGGTGTGAAAGGAATGAAACCATTTGTATTGAATCATAATGAATGTAATAATCATCATTCCGAAGAAATTAGATTTCAAGATATGAATATTGGGCTTTGTTTAGATGAAGGTATACCAAGTTGTTCAGGAGATTATTTAGCATTTTACGACGAACGTCGTCCAGTTTGGATAAATGTACATTTTCATGGTAATGCTGGTCATGGTCTGGCTTTAATTGAAAATACAGCCGCTGAAAAATTCCGGATATTTTTAAATAGGTAAGACTTCTTAAAATATCTTCCATGTTTTTATTTGGGTTTGTGTTGATTCCATATCGTATTTTCAAGGGATTATATATATATATTGAATAAGATGTCTTTTATTTTTCTGTTGATGGGACTGATAGTAGAATACAAGATATACTTTTTGTTCAACTTCAGACTCACCAACTAAATGTACTTGCATGTTTTATTGTCAACGTACCCACTGTATATCAACTCCACTACCAATCGCTGTCACCTTCAGAAAATTATTTATGATGTTGAATAATGGGTGTTGGAAGTCTTTAGATCCTTTGAAAGCGACTACGAACAATTATATAGCTTTTGTTTGCTACTGTTAATCCTAAATATGATAACTGTTTAACTCGAAATGTAAGTTTGATTGAGTTTGTAGTCGAATTGGGATTACCAATTGTAGCGTGGCGTCGAGTTGAGATTAACTATGAACACCGCTACAAAGAAACACGTGCCAAGCGAATCAGAAGGCGTAAGAAGCTCGTTCCAAATGACTCCATAAAATCCCCGAGAAGCCGAATATCAGAAGGCAATTGATGGACCAAGTCGATGTTTATTTGCTGGCGATCTCGTGGCATCCAAAGGATACCGAGATCGTGCCAGGATACAACCTTGGTTACAGAAGGTAACCGAATTCGCACGAAGTTACAATCGAAGTGTAAGTAAAAGAATGGAAGCACAAAATAGCTGTCATTAGCACAGTCAAACAAAAGCACGTTAAAACAAACACTGGTACAGTTGGTTATAATAATAATTGTTTTTATTAAACCAGTCGTGTTCTCGTGATAAACGTGAGTCACTACAGGAGCCCCCCGCTAGAAAGGGTTTACACTTTCGATAAATAGCGGTTTGAATCGTGGGACTGATCGGCTGACGAGCGATTGTAGGACGGAAGAATTGGCGAACAGGAAAGCGATCGTTGATCGTCGAGTTGCCAACGAAGGTCGTTTTTGGAGAACAGTACCAGGAGCGATGTGTTGTATTTGTTGCTTGAGTCGGCATGCTACCAGAGTGGTTTGTATCCAGAATCTGAAGAGGCCGTGATAAACGTGAGTCACTACAAGTTAATGTCTATATTTTTATCTTGCTGCAATAGAAACTTTTCATATTTAACTATTATTTGTTTATTTTAACACATATATATTGGCACAAGGAGGCACCAAATGCATATGCGCCACATATAACAATGAGAAGAGGAAAAAAATAATGTAAGGAACGTAAATGAAATAAAGTACAATAATGACCAGATTAGTGTAATTTAGTGTAATAATAATAATGGGGGAAACGGAAAGGTACAACCAGAAGAAATCTTTCAGTTAAGGAAGATTCAACCATTTTCTATGAAGAAAGTAAAATAAGGCTACAGCAGGATTGCCACTGGATTCTATTCTGAGCCATATCTGAAAACGTATCTGGCCACTTTGTTGCACCGTCTATCGGATCCCAGCCAGGGAGTCGTGAAGGACCAACAGAAGCCAACCCTTTGCAGCTTTCTTTCATGCCACGACACCATGTCATACACTGACAACCTATCGGCTTTTTCCAACCCGTCCCACTGTCGGCAAATGATGCACGACGTGGAATTCTCTGGGACGACATTCGTAGGACATGTCCAAGTCACCAAAGTCGATGTTTCAAGATGGTGACACCAATTGCATTATCGTCTCTGCGCTCGAACACACGATGCCGAACCTCTGCATTATTAACATGATGTTGCCACTGAATGTCAGCAATCCTTCGGAGACAACGATGATCAAACACAGAGAGTTGTCTGACATCCTCAACTCGGAGAGGCCAGGTTTCACAAGCATAGAGCAAAACTGCTCTCACCGACGCGTTGTATATCCGACCTTTTACAGCCAGACTGCCATCACGAAGGCGCCAAAGGTGGCCCAAATTGGCATAGGCCGCTCTGGCTTTCACTATACGTGCATTGGTCTCATCACTTACACCACCATCAGCATTTATGCAGCAACCTAGATACACAAACTTCTTGACTACTTCTGTCTGCTCACCATACAGGGTGAGTGCAGGATTAGAATCCTGCCAGTCTTGTAGAAGTACTTTGCACTTCGAAGGTGCAAAGCACATACCATACCTACGGACACTGATTGCCAACTGATTAAGTGCGGATTGCATGCCTTTGGTATTATCGCACAGTAAGACTATATCATCCGCATACTCAAAGTCGAGAAGTCTTTCTCCAGGCAACAGATCCACACCACCATTACTTACATCCATCAGAGCTGTTTCCAGAATGTCATCGATGGCAAAGTTGAGAAGGAATGGTGAGATTGGGCAACCCTGCCTAACCGCACTGTTCGAATGGAACAATGGAGAGAGGTGGTTGTATGCCCTCACTCTGCCTGATGTGTTTGTATATAGGCCGTTTAGGATGGTAATGAACTTCTCAGGCACACCCTTCTTCAATACACAATCCCAGAGAACAGTCCTGTCCAACGAATCGAAGGCAGCCTTGATGTCAAGAAACACTACGATTGTTGGCCTTTGATAAGTATGGCGGTGTTCTAACATTTGGCGGAGGGTGAAGATATGATCAATACATCCTCGACCAGAACGAAACCCAGCCTGCTCCTCGCGAGTCAATCTTTCTCGGATCTTGAACAACCTACGAAGTATGACGGAAGCCAATAGCTTGGACGCAATCGGAAGTAGACTTATCCCCCGATAGTTATTACAGGAACGACGTGAACCCGTTTTAAAGATAGGGACAACTATCGACTCATTCCATGACGTTGGAAAACTCCCAGACCTTTGTAAACAACGTTGTCATTTCCTTGACCAGAAAGTCACCACCATCTTTAAAAGGAGCAAGAGGTAAGTCATCTAGTTTCGGTGATTTGTAGTGCTTCAAGAGTTGGAGTTCCTTTCGAACTTCCGCCTCATTTGGTTGATCAGTCGTCACTAAAAAGCTTTTTTAATTGATGGTGTACTTCAGAGGTCGATAATCACTGCACAATTATTATTATTATTATTATTATTATTATTATTATTATTATTATTATTATTATTATTATTATTATTATTATTATTGTTATAATCTCTTTCTTCTTACGGTTAATGACCCAGCTATTCCTATTGCTTAGTATTCTTGGACACCGATTCACTCGACAAGTCCCCAAATCAGAACACGGTTGAACAGGAAAGAGATTATATTCCAAATAGCAAGTCAGAAGCACAATAGGGAAAAACGTCAGTATATTTATAGTTTTTACATAAGAAGATTCCAGAGTATTCTCCAACTATCGACTAGTGCTGATTGGATAAGAATTAGCCAATCAGCGTGCACCAAAGCAATCATGCATTGAGCATGCTTTAATCTAGTCTAGGACGTTTATGCTTCTTCTTAGGCTGAGACGTACTCTTCGGTGGACAATGACCTTCTTTATGTCCACGTTTGTTGCACGCCTGACATTTATGCTTCTTGAACGGACAGAATCGTGCAAAGTGCCAATCACCGCATAACCAGCATGCAGTCCTTGGTTTGTTACGAGTTGTTACCGGCTTCTGAACTTTCAACCTAGTAATAGTATTTACACTACCGCAGGTTAAATTAGGATTTACCTGTTCAATCAACTCGTTGTCGTGTCTGATGCTTTGTAGACGCTTACACTCATCTGTCAATGTTCTGAGTGTGACGTTTGGGTCTTGATCCAGTCGAGCTAAAAGTCTAGTCCTGATCTCAGCATCTTGTGGTGACTGAAGAGCTTTGATGAATATTAAGCATTTAAATTGGTCATCAGTCAACGAGCGTAACTTGAAACGTTCACATTCTCTGTTGACAATGTCTGCTAGAACACCATATTCATCAGCTTCGCGTTTCACAAAATTTAGACACCGATATAGAATACTAAACAACGAGGATGACTCGCCGAATATCTCTGACAACTGAAATACCGTCTCCTCGAAGCTGAGCTCTCGAGGTAACTTTGGCAATATATGGTCAGCAAAACGTGCATGTTCACTGCTTCCCAACTTACGTACCAACAATCGGGTCTTCCACGCATCGTCTTGGTTACAGAATTCTGTTCTAAATGTATCTTCCCAACGTTTGAACCACGTGAGAAAAGTATTTCCACTTTCGGGATCATAGATGAATTCTGGGATGCTGCTAGCAACTGCATCACAAGACGTACTTGAAATAGCATGTGAACTCGAGCTGTGAATGTTGAGCTGTTGAGTCAGGGTCTCTAACAACCGCATTTGTGAATCAAGTTGTGCTTGCTGTTGTTGTAGTATTTGGTTAAGCTGGTCATCTGATATGGGCATCTTGAATTTGTTTTCCTTTTTCCCCGTCGCCACTGTTATAATCTCTTTCTTCTTACGGTTAATGACCCAGCTATTCCTATTGCTTAGTATTCTTGGACACCGATTCACTCGACAAGTCCCCAAATCAGAACACGGTTGAACAGGAAAGAGATTATATTCCAAATAGCAAGTCAGAAGCACAATAGGGAAAAACGTCAGTATATTTATAGTTTTTACATAAGAAGATTCCAGAGTATTCTCCAACTATCGACTAGTGCTGATTGGCTAATTCTTATCCAATCAGCGTGCACCAAAGCAACCATGCATCGAGCATGCTTTAATCTAGTCTATGTCCCGCTAACAATTATTATTATTATTATTATTATTATTATTATTATTATTATTATTATTATGGTTTAGCCCTTTCACTTAATGTTCATTGCTTTTCTCTCTCTTTTCCATCTAAATAAATGTTATTCTTAAGAATCTATAATGTTTCAAATTATTTGAATCGTAGTATGAACGAAGAATCCCCGAAATAACGCAACTGAATCAAGAAGTACTAGACGAGCACAAACGAATGTATTGTATTTAGAATTCGAAATCCAGCATTCAACAAGTACAGTGGTATCATTAGTTCATTCAGACACCACAGAATCCGAAGTTTGTAATTAAGACAATAACTTGTGTTACATTTAAATTAAATTCTCAGACTCGTTTTATCTTCACTATGTATTATATGACTCATACATATTGGTATTTCGTTATCCTTTTCATTTAATTGAGACTTTCATAGCATCACTCCAAACTATGACTGCACAAACATTTACTCTAACGTCATATCTTACTGCGGTAATAAGTTATTTTTTCTTAATTATTTTTTGTTACTAATTTGACGATACACACATAGTCGTTTATTCTTGTTCTGTGTTCATAAACACGCCTATTAGATTGTTTGCGTATTTCACGTCTTATTTATTTCTATTCCCTTATTTTCTCCATTTCATTCTTTAAACTCAATTCAATATTCTTCTCAATTACACAGAATCTGATTTATCATTATTATTATTCTATTATTATTACTCTTTTTTTTTAAATATGGCAAAAATAATGCTAACATTATTGAAAAATTGTGTAATATTGCATTTTTTGAAGAAACCCGAAATGGTATCTTCACAACACTTATGTACCCATAAGATGTTTGTGAACAATAATAATAATAATAATAATAATAATAATAATAATAATAATAATAATAATATGCATCACAATGCACTTGAGGGCTTATATCGACGACTGCAAACTTTAGATTATTCAGCTAATTTATCCCGGTCGTATTGAAGCTCTTGGCTCTCACATTTACTTTTTATTACTCTCCATGTCTTCATAACGTCAGCATGTAACAAAACTGATGATGATGGGAGACGAGGAGCAACACCAGCTTAAAAGATATACACTGTAATACTTCGCCAAGCACAGTTTCCCAACTGGACAACTTTGAGTTCACCCGTACTCTTTGTTGACGTCCAACTAGACAGTTCTTTATTCACATCAATAAATTGGCCTAAATCCCGACATTACTTAACTAATATAGCAACCGGCTGTGAGAAACTTCGTCAAAAGTCTTGATGGAGCCAACGTAAGTTACAGCTATAGGCAAATTTTGGTATTCATGAGCGCGCCAACTTTCAAGGGATACTAATAAGCTAGTGAGACAGGAATATCTTGTTCTAAAGCCATGTTACTTTTTGGAAAGAATCCGGTTTTTGTCGGGATATTTAAACAACTCCTTCTAAATAATATTTTCTAAAATTTTAACAACCACTCTGGTTAGGCTCACGGGTCAATAATCCTCAGGTTTATGTCTCACACCTATTTTGAAGATAGGACTTACTGGAGCATTTTTCTCAGTCTTTTGGCAATCGACCCTAGGTTACAGATAGACTAGAATATATGCATTAGGAATTCACGATAAAAGTTGCTAATCCCTTTAGAAACCTAGGATTTATTTTATCGGGTCCCGTAGATTGGCGCATATCAAGCTCATTTAGTAAATCAATGATGTCGAGTATTTTAATAGTCACAGTGTGTGTAGGCGGTCTTGTATGAACTAGAGGAAAGAATGTCTCCACGTTATGTACATTGTTAAAGTATTTTGAGTATACCTGCGATTTACCATAGTCGCCTTCAGCTAATGATGAAGTATTGCTGTCAACCCATGATGCTGAAATATTGCCTCTTCTCTTAGTTCTTTGGTTTGTGTGTGAATATGAGCGTTTAGGGTATTTTATAGATTTTTTAGCAGGCTTTTTAACCGTACAAACTTCTTCACTTGCGGAGGGTCGAGGCACAGATATTCCAATCTTCTCGACATTAAGATGTTGTCTCGTCAGTACCCAGTGACCTGAATCTCTCTCACACTCCTCCATTTAAGGGGGGGCGCGGACCTCTTTGTTGGACGACTGTGGGTAATTTCTCAGACTCCTCGGTATAGTCGAAGAGATGTGCGGTGCAGTGACTTTGATGCACAAATTTTTGAATACATCTGAAGCCGCTTTGAATGGGGGTACTCTGGCTCTTTTGACTAATCTATTGAGGACTCAGATTGTATAACATCTCGAAAATTTGCTTCACAGACGTTAGGTCTGGGTTCGAATGACACATGCCCGTTACTGACAACTATATGGAAACCAAAGATTAGAACTGTATGATACTTTTACCCAAGGGTGGCATATAATGGAGGTTTGTGATATCATTCTCGTATTAGGTCAATATGAGGTCTAGTGAAAATGATTCTGAGTCCGGGTCGTACTTAGTTGCTTCTTTTACATGTTACACCACGGCACATGTGATAACCACATTACCACATCAGTAGCTGTTGTCCTTTGCATTTCAAGCAGCAACTAACTGGTTTACACGTCTTACTTTAATAGGATATTTTATCAACAGCGGCAAACTGGATACTATTTCGAATGAATAGGACTACGCCTTCTGGACGCTATCGGCTCTTACAAACGTGAAAATTCTAAAATAAAGTTTCGTACTGTCTACAGACTGTGTCAACTAAGTTTCTATGACTTCAATCACATCCGGCTTGGTAGAGTGTATCTGCACCAACTAGTCATCTGCATTATGGTGGCGATCACAGTCACGTCACGCACACCGTGTGATCCTGGATGATTATCGATGACTTGGCTGCCCAGTTATTGTTTCTTCAGCTAGAGAAAGACCTGGCCCTTCGATTATATAGCCCATTCTTCACAACCTCTCTTAAACCATATGGAGTTAGTCTACGCTTCATGATGACCAGCTTTCTCTTTACTTCGAAGTATGCTGGGTGAATTTTCGTACCTCATGCGCTCTTCAAACATTACAGGATTAGATCTTTGATAAAAGTACTGTTAGAAACATTAGCACATTAAGAAATACGTACATCCAGCAAACTTATGCCCTTTGACCCAAGTACAGATGGACCATACTCACTAACTAGGTAATGAATATTGATAAGACTGGCCTATTCCTTCCTTATTTGAATATTAACCATACCAATAATGGGTAGCTGATAACCAGTGATGCTAGTAGTTGGAATACTTGTATGTTTTAAACGGACATCGTTATAAAGCAATAACAGATTTCTCCTATAAATAATTAACTCTATGCTCCCAGTACCAATAATAAATTAACAGGACTTGCCTGTTTCAGCAATTGATTGTCACATCATATGTTAAGTACTCCTGCAAGTGGTACTAAACGATAACGAATCCATTCTTCTGTCCATATCAGCCGGTCTTGATAAACCACCATTCAGTGTTTCAGTAGTAAACAACTTTGAACGTTTAAAAACATTTTGTATATGTCCAAGCTTTCCAAAAATACGGCAACGTGCATAACAAAATTCATATGAATTACGAAGATGCCACTCAGCACATGAAAGACAAGGTTTGATATCCGAACACGAATTACAGGTGCTTTGCGAAATATTTACCTATCTGAATGAATCAGAACTGTTCTCGTTAGACGTCTGAGGTTTATGTAGTAATGAATGAAGCTCTTACACGTATTTCAAATACTGTTACCTGACAGTGACCTGTTAGAGATATTTTTAGTTTGTTAAGTGAACGCAGAATAGATTTGTCAAGATATGCAAGCTTCTTTAACAAACTATGGGCTTCCCAAACAACGGAATTAACATAACGAATTGAAATGATGTCTTCCTTGAGGTTGTTGGACAAACACTAGGGATCAATACATTCAAAATGATCTTCCATTTCCCAGAGTGAAGCAGTGATGGGTGATTCCCTTAAACTACTTTAATCCATTTGAATTGCGACACCAGGCGTGAATTTGGATTAATATAACGAAATGGAAATGCTCCCAAAAAGTTAATAAACTCTATCCTGCATGACGGTTAATTATGAGTAACAACACAAGTGCGTTATAATGGTAAGACGACAGTAATTTAGGAAAACATATCACGAAAACAAGTTGAGAAGACACGTTAAAAACTAAAAGCAGGGTCGAAGGTCGATTGCACTAGGTACAGAAATGTCCAGGTGTTATTCAATCGATCCTGCTCATAGCTCTTCGACAGCTACACACGGTCCTAAACACGGAAAAAAGGAAGGGGTTAGTCATGACGCCTTGTTGTTGATTTAGTGCATTTTCCCGCAAGGTGCTGATATGGTATGGGAATTGGGGTTAGTGTAAAATTTTGCAAGGTCCTAAGTTGATGATGACTAGTTTGACACGAGGTCACTCGGGATTTACGGAAAATTCGCCGATTGTTTCACGAACAAATGTTAAAGTAGCAGTTTTTTCTGTTAAAAGCGAAGACTTGTATTAACGTGTAGACGACCACCTATATAACTCAAATTCCATAAGATGTATACGATTACACGAATGGTTAAACCAAGCCTGCACAGAAAACTAGTTACTAACATGCAACAACAAAAATTACAGTAAAATACTTCTTATAATTACAATCATATCGATCTACTAGTTCAACTATAATAAGTTTATCATAATAACTATTTACATTTGAGTAAAAAGTGAATATTTATGCTGTTCTAGCGAACAGTATAATCATGAGATTTAATTACCTGAGTACCTCGACCGTATATTTTACCATCAGGTGTAATTGTACCACTGAATGGAGGATATGACCATTTTTCTTCGACTACTGGTACTACGTCCATATGTGAATTTAACATGATTGCTGGTAATTCCGGTTGATATCCATCCCAACGCATGATGACGATAGGATTATCTGGAACGATTTCAACGACATTGCACATGAGCTGTAATTCTTGACCCAATTTAACAAGCCACTCAACAGCTGGTGCAACCCATTGCATCCAAGCTGATCAGGATAGGCTAGATACGGTAGAGATGCTGATGTACCCTAGGCACGATGAGGAAGGTGCTACTCACAGTGAGCGATTTGCTATAATGCTGTCTGAAGAAGCATGGAAAGCACTGTTAGGATGGGAGTCTCATGGATGTAGAACCGTCAAAACATTCTACAAAACAAAGGAAAGGATCACAATGAATGTTATCCAGTGTTATGCATTCACCAAGTGGGGTTGCAGTTGTCATGGGACGACATGGAATCGGAGGAGGGAACAAGAATGGTGAGGGACTTATAGATTAATGTGTTTTCAACAACATGGCCACAGGTGACATAATTTCCCACCACAAACGTATACACAAAGCTATATGGGTTTCACCGGACCAAACTACAGAGAACAGGACCGACCATGTTTGCATCAATAAAAAATTCAGAGGATCCATGGAAAACGTGAGAACCAAGAAAAGAGCTGACATAGCTTCGGATCACCACCTAGTTGTGGCAACGATGAAACTGAAATCGAAGAAACACTGGACAGAGAGAGACAGAATTGTGAAAGTTTAATACAGTCATCCTTCCAGATACCGACAAACTCGGAGGACTCAAGGTACCTCATCAAGAAAACAAAAGAAGGAGATCTAAGCAAATGTGAGAACTACAGAGGCATCACACAATTATCGGTACCAGAAGTAGTTTTCAGCAGAATGTTGCCGAACTGAATGAACGTCCAACTTCCAGATCAACAGACCGAACGCCATAAGGGTCGGTTGTGCATAGACCAAATCGCGACACTACAGATCATCGTTGTGCAATCGGTTGAATGGAACTCGCCATTATACATCAACTTCCTCGACTATGAAAAGACGTTTTACGGCGTGAACAGGAGAACCTTATGGAACCCTCTTCGCAATATGGTGTACCTGAGAAGATTGTCAACATCCTCGGAAACTCATACGATAGACTACACTGCACAGTGGTGCGTGGAGGACAACTGACAGATGCATCGCAAGTGAAGATAGGAATTGGAAAAGGATGCTTACTCTCTCAATTTCTTTTCCTTCCAGTGGTCAACTGGATCGTGAGGACCTCCACATCTCAGGAGAAGCACGGGATGCAATCCACAGGTTGGATACAACTAGATGATTGGGACTTCGCAGATAACCTAGCCATTCTATTACATACACATCAACAAATGTAGGTGACGAAAACTAGTGTAGCAGCAATCTATGAATCAGTAGGCTTCAACATATACAAGGGAAAAAGCATGATCCTCGAATACAATACAGAGAATATCAACCCATTCACACTTGACGGAGCTCTGGAATAGGTGTAAACTTTCACGTGTCTGGTAAACATCATTGATGAACAAGGAGGATCCGATGCAGAAGTAACGGCACGGACCGACAAAGCAAGGATCACATCCTTTCAGTTGAAAACAACTGTCAACCAACATCAAAGTCAGAATCTTCAATAGAAACATCAAGAAAGTTCTACCGTGTGGAGCCGAAACTTAAAGAACTACCAAAACCATCACCAAAAAGGTACAGGTATTTATAAACAATTGTCTACGCAAGATAATCCAGGTCCACTGACCGGATACCATTAACAACCTACTGTGGGAGAGAGAGGGAGAGAACAAATTAGCTTCCAGCTGAAGAGGGAGTTGATGAAAGACGTTGGATCTGGGTAGGATATATATCCCGAAAATTACCAAACTGCATCACGAGGCAGGGGCTTACTTGGAACTCTGAAGGGAAACGAAAGGGAGGAAGACTAAGGAACACATTGTGATCAATAAGTTTCCTTCTGGATGCATTTAGAATTATTTTAAATTTTTAGCAGCGCACAACGTAGAAATAGAAGAGTTACAGAAAAAGGTGTCTCAATGCAAATGTTACTGTCCTTAGCAAGTGGAACTCGGCATTAGCATCACACCTATGTGCTAATTAACTCTCAATTGCAGGTATAAGTTTAATTATTTCTCTAACTTGTCTACTGATGACGCTGACTTACAAAACAGATCATTTACTGTGAGAATCGATGTACAAATTCTTAAATGGAAGAATGTATCCACATATTCTTCGGTAGCGTTGACTTTCAAGACGGATTTGTCACCCGGGTGCTAGTTCAGCTAGAACTACTTTCAAAACTCGCCTAACACGTACCTCTGACAATCCTTGAAATTTGGTCTTTCCCGGTCGTGGTCGTCGAGCAGTCATAATTGAGTGGTGACTGTCTCAGTTCATTAGTTGACGAGCTCTACTCCGTATTTCCTGTCATCAAGTTTTTCAAAAACGCAAGTAGATGACAATGAGACTCTCGGGAACAGGGAAGATACCCTCAAATTCACAAGCGCTTAGCCTAGATAAGAAAAATGCTAACAGCGATCCCCGAAACCTATCTTAGTTCAAGTTGTGTCGGTTTGTCAAAGTGTTTACGGAACTTTGGCTAACATTTGGAAAATTTTAACGAAACTATAGACTTATATATTTAAGCTATGCTGTTATAAACAAGTTACCTGATGGGGTTCAAGTTCCAAACATCCACAGAACACTGTTGCATCGACCCAGTCCCCTTACATACAGCCAAAGATACTTCAAATCCATCAAACCATACATCACTATTACCTTTGGAATATTAATCGTCCCTTACCTAACAAAACTGGTGAACGGTTATACAGATATCTGAGGTGTTTTCCTAAAATCTATTAGCTCATTGTATCGACAGTAATGAGTATGCTTCCTGACTTCTAAAACTAAATCTGCAAACCAAGCACCGAAAATCCGCAATTAAATTGCTGTAACTAAAACAACATTACTGCCAAGTGCAAAAACTTAGTAGTTTCCTGATATGCTACTTTGTTTAAATTAAAGCCGTACGAAGAAGGCTGTTCAATGGGACCAATTGCCTGTAAAAATGAGACCTGGAATTACTATTTCTAATGACCGATCTAGTATCGTTCAACCATATTCCATGTGATAAGAATAGACAGTGGTTATGTGCGCTGTTAATGCATTACACCCAAACCTGTAAAACAATAGGAAATCCTATAGTCTTCCTGATTAGCAACTAAAACCTTAGGTCAAAAAACAACTTAAACGCAAAATATATTTCGCGCACTGCTTTAAAAGTATGTTGTAGCATAACGATGAGCACAACAACAGAAAGACACAAATGTATTGACGACTCTCATTCCGGAAAGGTCTAGATAATGAAGGATATTCGGCTTCATTTTTTTCAACGAAATATGAATTCCGACTACAGTCAGTAACAACTGTCTTATTCATAACGTATCATCATGAAAAAAATAATTCTATTAACTGAAATAACCCATATATTTAATTAAATCACCGGATACAATTACGTAAAACATTGACACTAAACTTAAAACTATAAGTAATAACTGTACGAAATTCAGTCACTAATTAACAAAGACCAATGAAAACAAAAGCAATACAACTGAATAGAAACCACTGGGTCAGGGTAATTCGGCGAGAGCTTGAACAAGATCAGAGTACAATCGACATCCACGCAAAAATTCTGTTTTATCTAACCATTCATCATGATCATGCAATAAAACGGGGGTATTTTTGATCGGCGAAAATCCAATTGCTTGTATTGGTTTGTTATTAGTAGCATGTGGAAGTAAATGATATTCTCGAACAAATCTGGCATCTGTACCACCAGGAAATATTCTCTTTTGAACTTTACTACCGTGTTTTGAGCAGACACTAATTAAAGTAGCCCACCAAGGATTGGTGGATTCATCTGGGGTAATAACTGATTGTTTTAGATCAACTCCAGTATTGATGAATTCGAACTAAATTACAAAAAGAAGCGAATATTAGACAGGGAATATCCATTATACGTACACAATATACGGGCAAAGGTTAAATGTTATCATAAAATATCATATTACTCAATCACATGCGGTCCTTTATCCACTAGCATTCTCGAAAATGTAATATACCTCAAATTCATTGTTCCGATTTTAATAACCATAACATAGAACCGTTCCAAAAGTGAGACGTACTCACAAATGTAATGGTTCAAAAAGGTATTTTTCTGATGAAACCACTACATTTTCAGTTAATATCACAGGAAAAAAGAACAGTAAAGGAAATAGCGTACGGATGAGCAAATCAGAATCGAGAAAACGATATTTGAGTTCTTGCGCGAAATTCAAGTATGAATAGAGTTCAACTTAAATAAATTACGTAAACTGAGTAGTGGAATTACCTTTGTATGATGGTAATATCATTTAAAATGATAACGAAGAATTACTTCATTCACCATACAATAGTGATGACAGTTGAATGTACCGATTGCATTATTCTCTCTGCGTAGATAGAATATAACACAAATCGGCCGTAATTCCCTAATTGGAAACTGTGAGGACTCCTGAGAATCTAGTTATGTGGTTAAAAGGGCTCAGGAAGACAGATTATCTACTTCTATATGGACTAATTATTAGGTTGTTGTACTATTGATTTATAAGAAAAAAATTAGGAGACTCATTAAGTACTGTTAAATTTCTATATAAATTTCCCCCTCGGAACTATTCCATTATGGTAAATATTTTACAATTGGTTAAGAACTAGCTGAAATTTGTCGCAGTTGTTTTACGCTTGTTCCTCTAGTATGCTTTCACCGAGAGCACATCAAAACGAAACGGCAATACTACTACTAAATTTTTCCACAATTATAATGGAGTTTTATATGGTGTAGAGGTTTGTACACAGCAGCAGTAAGAAAAGCGATTTCAACCAATTTTTAGGCGATTCTTTTATTCTCCTAAACTTGATTACTTAGGAAATATAAAAGATACAAAAAAATGTCAATTTTTGCAAACTAACTTCAATCTGTCCACCAGCATTTAATGCCCACTGATCTAATTTCCTTTTGAAGTCATCCAGTGACAATGACGGAGTTAATCTAATGTCAAATGATGCTGACAGCTGTTCAGGCACAACATTATGCTGTACACCTCCATTTATCATTGTCATATTAACTGTTGTTATATCCCCCAATGTTAGCTTTCCTAGAGAGTTTTCTAACCTTAATTGTTCTTCTTTGCGGAAACTGTAAATACTGAAAATGGAAAAAAACTATGTACGAATTTCGTTTGAACAATTTTTTTACTTGGAGATATACACCACACTAGACAAAATTCATTACAGTATAATTTCGTCTGTGCTGCTGGTTTCACTAGGAGAATAGTAGAGATTCTTACGACTACAAATACTTCACTCCGATCGATTATTCTTTGACTGGTAAAATGGTGCGAATCCACGCAGCGTTTTATTTACTATCAGTAAATAACAGGAAATTGGTTACTGTAAATTCTAAGTTATGAAGTTTGTCCTAATAGAAATCGAAGAATACTGGTACGTTAACGATAAAAAATGCAAGTACATTTAGTTGGTGAGTCTGAAGTTGAACAAAAAGTATATCTTGCATTCTACTATCAGTCCCATCGACAGAAAAATAAAAGACATCTTATTCAATATATATATATAATCCCTTGAAAATACGATATGGAATCAACACAAACCCAAATAAAAACATGGAAGATATTTTAAGAAGTCTTACCTATTTAAAAATATCCGGAATTTTTCAGCGGCTGTATTTTCAATTAAAGCCAGACCATGACCAGCATTACCATGAAAATGTACATTTATCCAAACTGGACGACGTTCGTCGTAAAATGCTAAATAATCTCCTGAACAACTTGGTATACCTTCATCTAAACAAAGCCCAATATTCATATCTTGAAATCTAATTTCTTCGGAATGATGATTATTACATTCATTATGATTCAATACAAATGGTTTCATTCCTTTCACACCACCTAACTCCTCGTCAGGTACAAAAGTCAAGTAAACTGTACGACGCAACTGGTTGCATCCACGTGATTTTAATCTTCGAATAGCCTCCAACTGTTGGATACCAATTGATTTCATATCCTTCAACAAACGAATATGAATAGCATAACAGGTTAAATAACATCTCAGGACAGAGTATTCAATGATGTTTTTTAAAATTTCACAAGTAATAAACTAACTTTTCAGTCTACATTACAAACTGATGTTGGTTAGACAACTATCGAAAACATCGATTCCACTCCAGTATAGGACTTCCAAGTGAACACTGACGACACTATCGGAAATCGGGCTGAAAACTTCCAGGTCTCACAGTGAATCATTGAAGTTTAGAAAACTGAGTTGGGATCCGATGGTTTACATTACTGATTTTAATCAATTCGTGATATTACTCGGTCATTTTCCAATCCGATTGGTGGACAACTTCCTCACTCTTGGCCTGGTTGGACTCCTCCGGTTACGTCCTTACAACGTATATAGGAAAACTGTCTTTGTAAATCAGTTACTAGTAAGATGGGGAGTATCATACTAAGATGAAACAGTTTTACAGTGCTCCTCAGTCTTTAATAGTTAGATAACTAAGGTCAGTTCGTGACGTACAGAAGAAAATTCAAAAATCTCCACACACACACACCCTACACCAATATTAAAATAGCAAAAAGATACATAGAATCCGAAATTTTTCAGAAAGAGCGTCAAATGGGTGATATATGGATAGTTCATAGCAGTTTTAAAAACTTATTTTAGAAGAATTTATTTTGCAATGTGATATGTACAATTGAATTTTTAAAAATATGTTGACAAACTAAACTGTACATAATACTAATGTATCATACTTCTAGCTTTAATCTACTAAGCCATGAATGTAGATATTTTGCTATGTTAGTTCATGATCTCCAGTTAAGAAAACAGTTAAGTCTTGAGTGTTAATTTTATTAATAACACTAAAAAAGATTAAAGTAGGATAACAACTATTACGCATAAATATAATTACAATGTCCTTAAGAGTAAGGAAAAAAATAACTTATCAAAAGATGGAAAAATAATAGGGAGAAAGCATCTTTAATGACACCTGGGATGGGCAAATTTGGTGAGAAAATCGTAAGTTGGAGTTTGCAATAAGTAATGAGGGTGGTTTGCAACACAACATGGAAAATTGTTACCATAAATACTAGGTAAATTACATCCGTTCTGAAGTAGGTTCGGAATAATAGTAAATATATTTTTGAGGTATCTCAACGAGTAGAATATTGTATCTGACATTTTGTGGCCACATGACAGTCAGTTCACAAAAATATATTTATTATTCGCCTTCTGCCCAATCCTCAATTTATTTGAAACTATCGAGGTAAGGAATAGTTTTCAAGGTGTAAAATATGAACTCATCTGATTAAAAACATAGTAACACAATTTTTATTATCAGAGGGGGTTTGTTGTGGATATTATAGTAATTTTAGTAGTTGAGATCATGAGCCAATTGAATCTAGACCACCATAGAAAACCTGGAAGCGCTGGACAGCCTTTTCGTCCTACTGTGGGAATCCTCAGCAGTGCGCATCCACGATCTCACCTCGCGAGATGGTGGATGTGTCGCTCAATTTCGCGGACTAGTTGGAGTTAGACATTACCACCGTTGGATGCCGGCTCAGTGGTCTAGAGGTTAAGCGCTCGCGCACGAAACTGGTAGGTCCTGGATTCGAATTCCGCTAGGCGAGATCGTGGGTGCGCATTGTTGAGGCGTCCCACAGTGGGACGAAACGGCCGTTCAATGCTTTCAGGTTTTCCATGGTGGTCTAGCTTTAATTGACTCATGATCTCAACTATTAAAATTTTTATTGAATGAAACGTTCACTTTCAAAAGGGATGTTCTTAGTGTTTCCTTTCAGAATCTAGTTTACAGACTAGAAAAAATATCAATACGTATTTGCACAGTTAAAAGATTCCACAAGATTGTTAGATGGAATTGTAGCCAAAATGAATAAGAAAGCTAAGGCAGACAAATTAAGTTGAGGTCCCAGTATATTAAGTCAATGACCATTGGTTTAGGCTGTGTGTGTATGTGAAAACTACCTGGATAGAGTCTGAGCAATAATCGTGACTGATAACCGGCAGCCTTAGGTGTCATGGCTCAAGATAGGAGGCAGGAGTGCAGAATGTATTCAGTATTTAAGAACAAGGAATACCTGAAGAAATAATTGTTTCCACTAACTCGATCACCAGGCTTTACAGTTCTAAATCCATAATTATTGCACCACAATAGACAAAATAAACCATGCATATATATGTAAATTGGACAATCTTATGCGTTAGTACAATAAATTTTCGCACCAGTTTCAGCTTAAATACGACTGAAGTGTGCCATTAGTCAATCTATAATCCCACAGAATTTAGGTTCCAAATACTACCCCGACTGCCTTGTTGTTGATTTAGTGCATTTTCCCGCAAGGTGCTGATATGGTATGGGAATTGGGGTTAGTGTAAAATTTTGCAAGGTCCTAAGTTGATGATGACTAGTTTGACACGAGGTCACTCGGGATTTACGGAAAATTCGCCGATTGTTTCACGAACAAATGTTAAAGTAGCAGTTTTTTCTGTTAAAAGCGAAGACTTGTATTAACGTGTAGACGACCACCTATATAACTCAAATTCCATAAGATGTATACGATTACACGAATGGTTAAACCAAGCCTGCACAGAAAACTAGTTACTAACATGCAACAACAAAAATTACAGTAAAATACTTCTTATAATTACAATCATATCGATCTACTAGTTCAACTATAATAAGTTTATCATAATAACTATTTACATTTGAGTAAAAAGTGAATATTTATGCTGTTCTAGCGAACAGTATAATCATGAGATTTAATTACCTGAGTACCTCGACCGTATATTTTACCATCAGGTGTAATTGTACCACTGAATGGAGGATATGACCATTTTTCTTCGACTACTGGTACTACGTCCATATGTGAATTTAACATGATTGCTGGTAATTCCGGTTGATATCCATCCCAACGCATGATGACGATAGGATTATCTGGAACGATTTCAACGACATTGCACATGAGCTGTAATTCTTGACCCAATTTAACAAGCCACTCTACAGCAGGTCGATAGCATGGATTGGGATGAACTGTCACAAATTGTAAGTATCGAATGAAATTCTTTACGGCAATTTCATCCAAATACTTCTCATTGTTATCACTCATTGCAGAACAAAATTAAACAACTATTTGTGTGAAACAACGCTGATCATTCACCTTTAAGACAACATGAAATAAGATCACATTATGAATGGGAACAACTACTACAGACTATTTATAAATTTCAAGTGCGAAATCTGCGATAAAAAAAAGGTGTTCAAATTAGTCAGTTGCTTCGAAAAATTAAGTAAGCCTTTATGAAAATAATCATCATACTAAGAAGCTTAAAACTACAAACAAAACAAGATATCATACAGTAACATAAAACAACAGTTTCCAAATAAATCTCAAAGAGAATAAAAAACTAGTTTACATAGAAAGTCTTAAAACACAGAAAGTAACAAAGTAAGGCTAGAGACAAACATGCGTCGGCCTAAATTGCCAAGCCACATTTGCATGACGAATCGAAAGTAATAAGATGAATACCAAAGGAGTCGAAATAATAGTAGTATCAATGTTATTGACAAAGGCTAAAGGTTGAAAATATGGCTCGAGAAGAAGGGACGTAAATATATGTATGGAGAGATACTAGAACTCAAAATCTAAAGAAAGATAAAGAATAAATGGATGTGCACTATTGTCAACGATTCGAAGCCGTTTTATTCAATGTCTCAAAATACTAATATGTTATTTTGTGGACCCCGACCAGGTGAACTGCATCCACACATAGGTTAGACCAACAGTAACCTACCTCGGGTTGGTTTCATGTCTTGATTTGACCGTCCTTAGATTTATTCCGACTTAGTCTTGCTCCAGTCAATGTTGAACTTCGAGGTAGAGGGTGTCTGAGTATATACAACACATGTCTCAATTACTTCAGTCGATGAGGATTCACAACCTCACGAACCGGTTGACCATCTTTGTCTAGTAACCTATTCCCAACCTCAGCATTGTTCACTCGGTCGTTCCACAACACGCGAGTAGTGCTTTGAAGATACTTATGGTCAAAAGCCTGCAGCCCATTCATGTCTTCTACTGTCATAGACCACGTTTCTCAGCTATAAAGTAGTGCAGAGAAGATTGGTGAGCTGCATACAGGCCCTTTGGTTTGTAGACAGTCATTTTGTCTAAACCTGAGTGACTAAAGTTCCCAAACTTCAGCTGATATCTGCGTCAAATTTACTACTAAAACTGGACCTCCACTGCTGAAGATCGTCGGGATTAATCAGTAAGGGCCTCCTGTTCTTTCTCGCTGTAGATTAGATATAACCTATTAAATCCCAGCCAGATTCGAAGGCCCAACCGCATCTCTAAATTAGGTTGTTTGAAAATAAGTAATAGTAGGCAGCGGGAGGCAGGTGAACTGTTTCCCGAAGTTTCCTACCCACCAGTCTTAACTTCTAAACAGAGGGAATGGTGGTTGTATTTTTGCGAGGTAGTCTAAAAATGGTTCTTTTTTTAATACCTGTTCCCTTGATGAATCGGAATAGTTTTTAAGTGCTGTCTGGCGCCGCTGCCTCACCAGTCTCTTTTGATTTTTTCTCACACTATTGCTCAAGATCATCCCGTTGAAATTTTTCTCGTTTGTGTCCGAGTTGTTGCCTATTTTTACCGTTTTTTGAGCCTTTGAACATCTATCAATTTATTAAATAGCAACGAAATTTACTGGCTTAAATTTTCTATGCAAGTTATTGGGAGATGTCATTGATGTACTAACAAGTGTTTGGATATCATTCCAAGCTTCTTCAAGGCTAACTATTTTTCCCCGATCAACTAGGCGATAAGCTAACTCTTCCCTTGATTTGTCCTTGACATTTTTCTTCTTCCAAACAATATTTAAGGGCTCTTCTTGTTGTGATTTTCCTGCGTCCAGTAAGATGCGTTGAAATGCTTTCTCGCACTCGTGCATGATCCCAGTCCAAGGATTTGTCTTGGAAGGAGTGGCAAAATTCTGTCGGGCCTCTCAAGTAACGACTGGTGATATGATCAATTTTTCTTAACGCTGTTCTGATGTTTGGAGTCACTAGGTTAGACAATGTCTCACTTTAGGCTTAAAGTCTGTATTTGGCAGGAATAATAAGTAGCAGGCGATCACCACTGTCCGTGTGTTCAACCGGGATACCATGAGATCCACCTAAGTGTTTGTGCTCCCTACTCGCTGGGTGAGATCAAATGAATGATCTTGTGTGTTTTGTTGACGTGGGATACACTGATGGGATGAAATTCTAGAAAGTTAGCTAGTGATACCTGTCTTCCGATATAAAAAACACCGTTGGCTTACAGTGTGTTAAACATAGCTTTCAGAAACGAAAGCTCAGAGACCTAGTAACGTAGTAAAAGAATGTTCATAGCCATGGAGTAAGCTTTTGTCAATGATTGTCCTGCTGAAATAAATTATCTATTGAAGTGGTCAGCATTTCAAGGCCAAGTTTAGAAATGTAAAAGAATTTACAGTAACTAACTCAGTTATGAAATGCGGTATCTATGAGGAAAAGTTATATCCCATGTATTCATCGAGTCAACCACATTGCAGTTAGGCATAAGTTTCTAAGTGGAGAAATTAGATTAGTTGATTTGATGCAAATTTTTGTTCAAGTGCTAACTACGATATCTTTAGCAATGTAAACTTAAGTGTTCTATTGTAGTGGACGCTACTCATAAGATGTCTGTAATTAGTGTGTAGCGGAACGTAGCGTCAAAGTTGCAACAATTATCAGACGGAGTGAAGAGTTTCTGTGCATCAAAAGTACGGCGTTGGTAGAACACATGGAAACCAGTTGAGAAGACAGTTTAGGTGGCAGAACACACAGAAGGATGCAAATAGACAATTGAAAGCTATGCATGTGTATTATGTAAACACTTTGTAACTTTTCGCTATGAATATACATCTTTTCTGCCTATTGTTGTGTTTTACGCTGTTTGCTTAAGTCGAATGAGAGAGTTATCGGGGTGGTCACATCAGAGAATGACATTGACAGATTGCAGTGCCAACGTAAATAAAAGTGAATCTAAAATCTACCACAACCAACTACTTTTCTTATCAAACAATTCATATAAACCAACACATACAATTAAATGATAACAAAACAAAGTTAAAGAGAATAAATGAAATTTTATTACACACCGGTTACACAGGTTTACAAAATTCAGTAATAAAGTGGATTTATCAAACTATAGGTAGCACCTCCTCTTGTTTTACCTTATCGCATGTATCATTGTTTGTCTTTTTTTCTACTGGAGTTTTTGGCTGAAAATTGGCAGATGCAAACGTTTTTCGCTTTCGTGTTTTACGTTCTGTTCGAGCGACAACCTGTTTTAACACAGGTGGTTTATATGCACAAAAGCCATAACTGTATTCAAAGTTAGATTGATTGTCACTATCAAGCATACCATGAACAATTTCACTTTCAAATGACTGAAGAATGAGAGAAGATAGGTATGACTGAAATTCAGTGATAGTAAATTTATGGGGTGGTGAACTATAATCATATAATTTTGAACTAATTTGAACATCCTCCCAACTTTCTTTTTTCTCGACTAATGAAGACTGAAATAAGAAAGCATGAATAAAGAGAGCAAATGCATCTAATATTGGAAATGGGTTCACAACAGTATGGGACTTACTTACAAACGTTATTACTAATATTCCATTATCTTCAGATCAAACTTGGGTAGACATGAACAAAAATTCACGACTGCTGATTAAATTATCAAGATCGCTGAGAAGCTGACTTAAACTGGTGCGATCATTATTGATGTTAGACGTAGAAAGATTCAACGGACCCAGAATATGAAAGTAAACCTGGGAAGATTTTTGACAGGTCGCACTCCATAATATATTAAAACATAATGACAGCCATTTATAGAACAATTTATCGGTTAGAAACGATAACTTGAAGAAATTGTGTAATATGGCTGTTTTTTTAAATGAAGCTGCCAACAGTCGGGTCTCACTATCCAAGAACTTTAAACTGAATCCAGGCAGTCACATGAACGATTGTATGAGATCACTTTTACCTCAATGTTAGAGACTAAACTGTCACTCCTAAAAATCTAATCTGTAGCTTTCAAGAAATATTCAAATAATCATTAAGAAAAGAGAATTTAACGCAAATTTGCAGTCTCTTCTGGCATACTACCGTGGAAGTATAAATTAAAGGAGGGCAGAGATCTTTAAAGCACTTCCAGTGTGTTATGGTACATCAACTGGTCATGTGACGATCAATAATCATGTGATTTATCTAAGCTTATTGTTAGAAGAATATCGATAACCAGTATGTCGAACAATGCAACCGCCTATACTTTCAATGAATATTTGTCACAAACAAGCAGTAGTTGAAGCCAATATAGAGACTACTTTAATCAATTGATCAGTACTTAACTGCAAAACACACTGCCAAAATAGGTTTTAACTTAGCTTAGCTTATATGGTAAAGTAAATATATCTTTACGTTTTCTTTTCCAAAGGCCAACATCTTTTAACTTTACCTGTACTGCGATCAGTAACTGTGTGAAAAAAAGCATCAGTGAACTTTTCAGCTTACTGAATTTTAACAGAATCATTTATCCAGACAGTGCATTGGCAGAAATTAAGTCAAGAAGTGTTTTCTTAGCTCTAGGCTTTAATCTTATTCATACGTCTAGATACATGCCTATGAATATTTAGTAACTGTATCGGAGTAAGAACTGTGGTGTTGTTAATAAAATATAATGAACACAGAGGAATAAAGGAGGATGGCTATTAGTCTCAATCAATAAAAAAGCACTTTCATTGTTTTCGAGAGGTTAAGGCAAGTATTGATCCCAGTTGTCCACAATCTGAAGGTTGATACTTTTCCAAAATATCTAAAAATTAGCCAAAGCCTATAAGATATCTGCCTGATTCCAGTTACACAGTTGTTACAGGTATGGCAGTAGTTTGAGAGTTTCACTAATCGCTCCACAGTCGGGAAAGAAAAGCCGTACGATAAGACGGAAATGCACAAGTTTGTGTTAAATGTATCTAATCTTTTGTTTCGCGAGTAGAATGACAGAATAGCATAGTATTCTGGATGTTTGGAAGGAAGCCCTTAGCAACATTTTATTTCCGTTCAAATATAGCCTGTCATTTGAATCCGCATTGCAAACTAAATTATTTACATTATGACAACAGATTTTAGTCTCAACACCCTCTGATCAACCTTAATGCCACAGAAAAACTAGTGTTTCAGAGGGTCCATCATAACTGGATCACCACTAGAGAAAAATTCGACAAATGTGACTAGATGGTAGCTATAGATTAGATGAGTACAACAGAATAAACAGCGTGTTACGAATAAAAGGTCACGAAAAATGTACAACAAAAATATGTAGCATGAATGCACATTAAATGCAAACGCTTAGTAGTTATATATAACAATGAACATTAAGTATTTCTGCGATTATATACATAATGATAAAAAAATTGAAATGGGAGACTTAATTAAGTCTTTAGAAATGTAAGGGTATGACTTACGGCTTTTGAACAATTAATAGCCATTTTATATGAAGTCTCGCGTTTTTTAATGTACATTGGAGCTGCAATGCTACTAGTGTTATCACCAAGTGTAGGAAACTTGATCTCGATTTGTTTACAAATGTCAGAGAGATCTGATGGAATCTCATTAGATAGGCAAAACCCCAAAACTGCCAGCTCCAAAAATTTGAAACAAGATTATAAACATTATGCAACTGAAGTTATTTAACAGACAGTTGAACATAAGTAATATTTTAAGGCTAATTTAATGTGCATTTCTGAGTTTACATAAATACCAGTAAAACAAAGATTTGGGTATATTATCTAACTTAAAATGTTTTACAGAAGGTAATGCGGTTAGTTGACCAAATACATATTCACCTACTCAGTTCTCAGACACGTCTTTGTTCGTATGAGGACTAATGAAGCCACAGGATTGACTAAGCACCTCAGTAGGTGGAACGACTTTTAAAGCTACAAGGTAAATATTTTCCTTTTTGACCTGATTCTGTCTGAGTGAATTAAAAAGTAATTTGCTACTACAAAGTATTTTAGAGTGTAATGCGTGCACACGTTTTATGGATTAGTAAAACAGAATTTACTCAATTAAATAGTACAACAATATTGTTGTAAATGCTATATATTAGTGTACAATTCAGACTTTTACTTACGTATATCAGGCTGAATTTGAACTTGTACGACAAAACACAGTAAGACGTTGACTAATATAGTATTTTAAATAGTAGCTTCTATTATCATCCACCGCCTAACTAGGGCTCGTGGAAATCAAACCGGGAGGTAAATATGTTAACTTGAAATTTACTGTTCGTCTGGTTATAGAACTAAGAGTACTTACCGATCTACAACGAAAGTTGCGTTTTTTGGTTTGATAGGTTGGTGTCTGAAAGGATTTCAGCACAGATTCAGAAAGTTCAGTTAGCTTACATTCACTAAGGGTCACTGGTGGAGTAGGCACTATGTCTGTCTACAAACCAAAGGGCCTGTATGCAGCTCACCAATCTTCTCTGCACTACTTTATAGCTGAGAAACGTGGTCTATGACAGTAGAAGACATGAATGGGCTGCAGGCTTTTGACCATAAGTATCTTCAAAGCACTACTCGCGTGTTGTGGAACGACCGAGTGAACAATGCTGAGGTTGGGAATAGGTTACTAGACAAAGATGGTCAACCGGTTCGTGAGGTTGTGAATCCTCATCGACTGAAGTAATTGAGACATGTGTTGTATATACTCAGACACCCTCTACCTCGAAGTTCAACATTGACTGGAGCAAGACTAAGTCGGAATAAATCTAAGGACGGTCAAATCAAGACATGAAACCAACCCGAGGTAGGTTACTGTTGGTCTAACCTATGTGTGGATGCAGTTCACCTGGTCGGGGTCCACAAAATAACATATTAGTATTTTGAGACATTGAATAAAACGGCTTCGAATCGTTGACAATAGTGCACATCCATTTATTCTTTATCTTTCTTTAGATTTTGAGTTCTAGTATCTCTCCATACATATATTTACGTCCCTTCTTCTCGAGCCATATTTTCAACCTTTAGCCTTTGTCAATAACATTGATACTACTATTATTTCGACTCCTTTGGTATTCATCTTATTACTTTCGATTCGTCATGCAAATGTGGCTTGGCAATTTAGGCCGACGCACATTTGTCACAGGATCTTTGTTTGCTTTAGCTGAGTGATAAGAAGGATAATCGAGGTGAAAATACACGTCAGTATTTTTGAAGCTCGAAGTAGATCATTACAGCTTAACATTGTGTAAAACAATCTGCTACTAAACCTATGTTCAGGACAAATATGGAGTCTAACACTCGTATTAAAAAACTGATGTTCAACAACTTAGACTAATCAAAGTATTTTTATGAAGAAATCTAGTAAGAATTGTAAAGTTCTTTTTAAACATTACTGTTAAATAGGCAGTAGTAGACTATTTTCGAAACTTTAAAGGGAAAAATAAATATATTAAATGTAACGAAATTGAAGTGGTATGATTGGCAAAAGGAATTACCTTTTTTACAGGTTTAAACTCAGTTGTAACTAACTCAGGTAGTGATCCTGTCGGTTTTATTGCCACTAATCTAATATCCAACAGAGTACACAAGTTCGCCAAATGGTGACCATAATGTGATGCCAGCCAACCAGAATCAACGAAAACGCATGATATCCTCCTTCCTTGAGTTTCCTGGCTATTTTCACTTTTATTGCACACAGAACTCTCTAAACATCGAATAATCTCATTTGAACCCAGCAATATGTGAGACCTAATGATTGAAGCAATAAAATTTTGTTGGAGTAATACTATTTTCGGTGTAAAGGACAGTGTTAAAAACTATGAACTATAAAATGGAGATTCAAAAGATTACACAGCAATGAAAAGTAGTAGGTATCATCATTGCAAAACTTTGGAAACATAAATAGAAATCCCCAAATTTATTAAAATGAAAGTCATATCGAAGTACATGTATGATGAAGAAGCACGCGATACTAACCTTAAAATTAAGTTTAGTCCACATTATTTACAACGAACTAAAAGTAAATATTGTGGCACTAAACACTAAATTATTAGCAAATTCAGTACTCAAGCACATTTACCAACACTGTCGTAAATCATAATAGTGTAGAAATCAGGGATGACACTCAGTTACCGAAACTTGAGTTCATGAGATTAGGTTCGAATTACAGGGACTGAAGGATAAGTCTTCAATTCATTGAGACAGTACGTCATGATTTCACGTTAAGAAAAATTTTCATTAACCACGTTGCAGTGAAGACTCCAAATATTTAGAAATGTAAGTGCCCTGGTACGGCCGAGAGTGGGGAGAGTCCGCTCTCATACGGCCATGCGTATACAGCCTCTGCCAGGGAAGTCCTACTCATTGCCTTCTCGTGGCGGGAGTGTTGTTTACGAAAATGAGAGGACGAAAAATCGAATGTCCGGTGCTTTAACCGGATTCCAAACCAATGGTGCACATGGGCTCCAGTATCCTTCGGGAACAAATGGCGTATGAACCAATCGTTGGTCACCGGCTACTATGGGATTGCATCTCCTTACGATGCTCCACTGCCTTGTGGGTTAGACCTTTAGGTCAAAGGCTCGGGGAGTGGCCCCCTAAGATAACCACCTGCTTCGGTTTGGGCACCCGGGCAGTATCACAGCCCACACACAAATGATGAACTCTTTATGTCTATGGAAATTACTTTTCTCGCTTCGAAAAACAACCAATTGATTCAAATTATTATCATTATTAATACTATTATTATTATTACTATTATTGTCATTATTATTATTATTATTATTATTATTATTATTATTATTATTATTATTATTATTATTATTATTATTATTATTATTATTATTATTATTTTCCACATTATTCACCCTCTTTTATACTTATACAGCGGCTCGTCTTTGGTGGAAATTCGACTGTATCTAAACGTTCTCGAGTCACTGTCCGGTTGAAAATTGTATGTTACCACCGAATACGAGGACTGAAACAGTTTTTCTGAAACCACGTGCACCATTCAAACTGGCTGCCTTCAACGTTCGCACATTTATGCAGGTCGGACAACAGATAGGGCTGGCTATGTCTTTGGAAAGTCTTAATATTGATGTTTGTTGTCTATCCGAGACCCGTATTCAAGACTCTGGCGAAGTACTACAAATTCGATCTCCATCTGTCGCTTCAAGAAGCTTGTTTTACGTGCGCTTATCCGGGGACCCTGTGGCATCTTCGTCTAGTCTTGCTGGCGTTGGTGTCGCACTAAGCGCTAGAGCTGAGGCAGCACTAGTCGATTGGATCCCCATTAACAGTCGGTTATGTGCTGTTAGATTAGAGAGTTCCATCAAAGTGAGAAGAAATCGGCGTGAGAAACGATGTCTTTTCGTCATCTCCGCCTATGCCCCGACAGATTGCAGCCCGGATGCAATCAAGGATGAGTTTTACCACCAGTTATCTATTGTTCTCCAGAAAGTGCGTTCGACAGATATTGTAGTACTAGCCGGAGACTTGAATGCTCAGGTCGGGCGTCTAGGCACAGAAGAGAGTCGTTTAGGTGGCCGATGAGGACTCGTTGGTCGCAGGTCAGATAACGGGGACCGTCTACTGCAACTTTGCACAGACCACAACCTGTTTCTGGCTAGCACTAACTTTCGGCACAGTCATCGTCGATGTGCCACCTGGCGTCCTCCCTCTGCATCTCAAGCCTGGACTCAGATTGATCACATCGCGATCAGCTACCGCTGGCATGGTTGTGTACAATACTGACGCTCCTTTTGGAGTACCTATCTGGACTCTGACCATACCTTGGTCTGCGCCAATCTTGCCTTACTTTTCAGTGGACAACGAAGTGACCACCATCAACGGGTTGATATTAGCAAGCTGGTTGCAACTTCTGTTGCAAGTAAGTATCGAACCGAGCTAGCCTCTAGGCTAGCTACCACTCCACCGAAAAGTATAGATGAGCATTGGTTGCAATTGCATGACGCCATGAAAATGGCGGGTCCAGTCAGTTGTGGGTTCGCGAAACGTCCCGCTTGTAAGCACTGGGTTTCTGCAGGTTCCTTACTACTCATTGAAGCCCGTCGGTCTACTCCGGGTGACCGTGAGTTTGACCATAAACGGAGGATGTTACGTAAGGAAATCGGGCAAAGCTTGCGTAAGAACCGAGAAGCCTGGTGGTCGAAGCGTGCTAATGAGCTGGAAGCAGCAGCTGTATCTGGTAACTACCGGAAGCTCTTCCAGCTCATCCGAGCCACTGGCAGCAAGAAGTCTGATGTGAGTGAAACAATCTGCGAGGATGATGGGATGTCAATCACTAACATTCATCGACGTCTTGGACGGTGGGCAGAATTTTTCGAAGGGCAGTTCAACTGGCCTGCTGCTCCGGCAACGTCGGTCAGACTGTCCTGCCCTCCATGGCCGGTGACGAATGATCCAACGGATGAGGCGGAAGTCCGAAAGGAACTCCAACTCTTGAAGCACTACAAATCACCGAAACTAGATGACTTACCTCTTGCTCCTTTTAAAGATGGTGGTGACTTTCTGGTCAAGGAAATGACAACGTTGTTTACAAAGGTCTGGGAGTTTTCCAACGTCATGGAATGAGTCGATAGTTGTCCCTATCTTTAAAACGGGTTCACGTCGTTCCTGTAATAACTATCGGGGGATAAGTCTACTTCCGATTGCGTCCAAGCTATTGGCTTCCGTCATACTTCGTAGGTTGTTCAAGATCCGAGAAAGATTGACTCGCGAGGAGCAGGCTGGGTTTCGTTCTGGTAGAGGATGTATTGATCATATCTTCACCCTCCGCTAAATGTTAGAACACCGCCATACTTATCAAAGGCCAACAATCGTAGTGTTTCTTGACATCAGGGCTGCCTTCGATTCGTTGGACAGGACTGTTCTCTGGGATTGTCTATTGAAGAAGGGTGTGCCTGAGAAGTTCATTAACATCCTAAACGCCCTATATACAAACACCTCAGGCAGAGTGAGGGCATACAACCACCTCTCTCCATTGTTCCATTCGAGCAGTGCGGTTAGGCAGGGTTGCCCAATCTCACCATTCCTCTTCAACTTTGCCATCGATGACATTCTGGAAACAACGCTGATGGATGTAACTAATAGTGGTGTGGATCTGTTGCCTGGAGAAAGACTTCTCGACCTTGAGTATGCGGACGATATTGTCTTACTGTGCGATAATGCCCGAGGCATGCAATCCGCACTTAATCAGTTGGCAATCAGTGTCCGTAGGTATGGTATGTGCTTTACACCTTCGAAGTGCAAAGTACTTCTACAAGACTGGCAGGATTCCAATCCTGTACTCACCCTGGATGGTGAGCAGATAGACGTAGTCGAGAAGTTCGTGTATCTGGGTAGCTGCATAAGTGCTGGTGGGGGTGTGAGTGATGAGATCATGTCAGTAATGCAGAGGTTCGGCATCGTGTGTTCGGGCACAGAAATGATAATTCAATTGGTGTCACCATCTTGAAACACCGACTTCGGTGGCTTGGACATGTTCTCCGAATGTCGTCCCAGAGAATTCCACGTCGTGCATTATTTGCCGACTCTGGGACTGGTTGGAAGAAGCGGAGAGGTGGTCAGTGCATGACATGGTGTCGTGGTATGAAAGAAAGCTGCAAAGGACTGGCTTCTGTCGGTCCTTCACGACTCCCTGGTTGGGGTCTGAGAGATGATGCTACACAGTGGCTAGAGACGTTATCAGATATGGCTCAGAATAGAAGCCAATGGCGATCCTGCTGTAACCTTCTTTTACTTTCTTCACAAAAAGTGGTTATGTCTCCCTTACCTGAAGGATTTCTTCTGATTGTACCTCGTTACTACCACACTACCTTACACCAATCTCTTCGTTATTGTTCTCTTTTTCTTCTGCGCTTCCTAGTTTTTTTTCTACTTTTTTTCTATTTCTCTTCTCATTCTCATTGTTTTGTGTGGCGCATATATATTGGCGCTCTCTTGTACCAATATTTATGTGTTCAAATAAATAAATAAATTATTGTAAGTGGTGGTTACGATTGTTGGGTACACAAATATCCGTCGTCAGGTATTCCTCACTATTAATAAAATATCGTGCTCTGCTACCACATATAGAATGAACATGTAATATGCCTATCGGTGTGTTATGCAGACTTCAACGAGTAGCCGTAAAAAAATAACAACTAGGAAACAATTTGCTGGATTTAAAATTTGTTACCTACACTCGTTTACTGTGCAGCAAAAATGATCTTAAAACCATTCATAATGATCAGAATGATATATACTACAAACAATCAAAGAAACCTATCCCAGTACTCAAAAATCAACAGGGATTCAAAGAAAAACACTTTGACGGAGAATCGCATTCATTATTTATAGGCATACAAAAACTTATAACTAAATAAACAGATACTGGACCAGTTAGAAGGTGAAAATGGTTCTCCCCCCCCCCCAAAAAGAAATATTTTAGTTTTTTTCTTAATATCCATTCAGTCAGTCATCTACAACGTAGGATCAGGCACATATATGCATTGGTCCTAGTTGCCATACCTCATTGACACAACAAGATGAACACCAAATTCATAGAAGCAGTTATTTCAATGGTAGTAAATAGGAGATTTCATATAAGCATATGATACAGGGAGAAAGAATTAGTTCCTAGGAAGAGATATAAAGGTATCTTAGGGTTTAAGGGAAGGCAAAAAGTGTATACACCTACGCCATTGTGATCGATTCTGAGTCATGTCACTGAGAGTCTCCAACCATTGGTTACGATAATCACGTGCACCCCAACCAAGTAGTCTGCATCTATCAACATGGTTCAGACTAGAAGTTAGTGGCTTTATGAACTGATGCGTCTTTCATCCGGTTCGGCAACACTCTGTTAAAGACTTTCTCTGGTACTGACAGTAGTGTGATGCCTCCGTAGTTTTCACATTTGCTCAGATCTCCTTTCTTCAAAATCTTGATGCGGTATCCTTTTTTCCAGTCCATCGGCACTTGTACCTCCTCCTAAATCTTTCTGAATAGAAGGTGGAGCATCTTTGCGATTGCAAGCATGTTCGGGATGCGATTCTCTCCCTCAAAATGTTGCTTCAGGATTGTGTTTCATCAGCACCTACATTAATGATAGGGAATGAAGTAGTTGAGCCTCACTTATCTTGAGTCTCATTAGCCCCTGTAGTCTGGTGTGTGAAGAAATCTCAGCACGGATACAGAAGGCTTGACCACATTTCGCCAACTTGCGTCATTTTTGGAGTAGGCGAGATATCCGTCTAACAACCAAAGGACAAGTTTACTAAGCAGCAGTCCGTTCCGTCCTAATTTATGGCTGTAAAACATGGCCGGTAAGAGTAGAGGATATTCGTAGGTTACTAGTATTCGATCATAGGTGTCTTCGAAACATTGCTCGTATATCGTGGGACCATCGAGTAAGTAACACAGTTGCTAGGAAACGGGTACTAGGTAAGGATGACAAATCAATTGATGAAGTAGTGAAACTTCATCAGTTGAGATGGCTGGGACATGTGTTACGTATGCCCAACCACCGACTGCCTCGACGTGCTATGTTCAGTGGTATAGGAGTAGGTTGGAAGAAAGCTAGGGGCGGTCAGACCAAAACATGGCACAAATCCATGAAGTCACTGACAAGTGGACTGAGTCATATTGGTAGGTGCAGACTATCTGGTTGGGGACCGCGAGATGATAGCAACCGATGGTTAGAGACGTTGAATGACATGGCTCAAAATCGTTTGCAATGGCGCAGGTGCATCCAGTCTCTGTGTTCTCCCAAATTCTAATCTTCTGAATTCTTCATGTCCTTTTTTCTCTTTCCAAATTTATTTCACTGGATTATACTCCTTGAATAACATCTCCAAACCCTAGTCTTTCCGATTACTGCTAATACTCTTACTACCTCTACCACTATGGGGTTTGAATCGACAATTGTATCTCTGCGCTGATGCGGTATGGCAACTTGAATTGATGTACGTACGTGCGAAGTTGTACATTGTTGCTGACTGCCCCACTGCCTTGTGGATTAGACCTTTGAGTCAAAGGCTCAATGAGTGGCCCCCTAAGAAAACCACGTGCCTCGGTTCGGACAACTAAGAAGTATCCCAATCCGCACGCAAATCGAATGATTTATGTGGCGCATATCTATTTAGTGTCTCCTTGTATCAAAAGAAATTAGGAAATGTGCTAAAATAAACACGAGTATAGAATAAATCGTATAATAAAATGACAAGCATTCAGTAGATAAACGGTGGAGGCATTCTAACCAGTAATATCACTTTTTCGCTAATTCACCAAAAGCAGACTTCTAACATTTTGAAGACCCCATTCACACAAACCCTTCTTATATTCATTTACTTCACGCGTTTCCGTCTTGTTCTAAAGTAACTCTTCAAAACTGATTTTGATTTAGTTAGCACCAGACATGCCGAGATAGGTGTTTTAATATGAATAACATTTAAAGCCCTCGCCTAAGCTAGTACAAGTTTACATTCACACAAACTGAATTACTTTTCCCACCCATATATATAGATCTTACCCTGTAATTCGGTTTATGATTTTATCGCCTACAGTTGAAGTTTTAGTCATCACCAAATACCGAACAAGTATTATAGGACATCAATTAACGTTTTTGTATCAAAAATCACAACACTAAAAAGTACAATTACCAGAAAACACGGCAATCCGAAACTTTTAACCATTCGTGTTTCAGTTCTTTCCTTAATAGACGACGAGATTTTCCAATTTTCAAAGATTTGGCTTTAGATTCACTTTCTAACTGGACGACGCTAGGGTCGGGATCATTCTGGAGCGCTTGCAGTTTTTCAACTTCGATATCTATATCATTGTTTTGAAATAAGCTAACATATTGACATAAGTCGGATGAAAAAAAAATAAATTGATTACCATTTGATTTCACTGCATAATGAGTTAGATTTATCAATAACTGAAATCCTTTACATAAGTAGAATGTAAACCTCATAGTTGTAAAGTTACCTATCCAAAAGTGCCAATGAACCGGGAACACACAAATATTTGGGGGGAGGAACTTGCTTTTTCTTCTTCAAAGTGTGACCCGTTTTTCGTACATAGTTGCTGGATTGTGCGTAGCTCGAAGCTAGTTCAGTCATTGGCAATAATCCTAAAAAAACGTTTGTTAGGTAAAAGGAATCATTGACAGTTAAATGGTACAGGTGTGTGTATTAAGTCACACTGATAGAACTAGCTTTTCACTGGGAAATCAATAAGCAGACAGCCAAACAAGCGTAATATGAACTCACATATGTTAATGGAAAGTGACAAGACGATTTGGTGATTTGTGTACAAGTGAGTACTACCATTCTTTTATAATTGAATGTATTCCCTCTAAGCAAGCAAACGGTATACACACAAATTTGCAACAACACAGAATTAAGTCTCAAACAAATAATGAATGATATCGCATAATAGAAACTTAGAATACGAAGAAAAATATGGTGAATAATAATTTTAGAACCAAATACTTAAATATTTAAGTGGAACAAAGGCCTAGTGAAAAGTGTTGTTTCTCATGCTCACTCGTTAAGAGAATAAAACAAAAATATCAACAATGTAGAGTGTAAAAGTCAATTTTATATCACTAACTTACAAAAAAACAAAACTTAGTGACAGAAAACGGTGAATGCATTGTCGAATAAATCCTGACCATCAAATTTTCTTGTCTCACAGATTAAATATCTATAATCTATAGGTTACAAACTAGTTGTAAACATTTCTACATATATTTACCGAATTATCACATCAACCCCCACATCGAATCCCCAACTAACCATATTTTCTAAACTTAAGAGAGGTTTGAGTAATGATAGTTCTGTTCATATATACGATTTCCAGCGCACACAAATAAGCCGATAATTGAGAGAATGAATGGGTTTGCAGAAAGGATTAGCTAGTTAAGAGACCAAAAAGTATGTATATCGAGAGTTGACAACAGCAGAAAACGCATTTTCGTGAGGGAAAAATTAGAAACTTAGAACGATATTGGATGTTTGCAAATTACGTCCCATTTCTAACATTATTGTAGAGTACAAGAATGACAGTGCTTTGCATAAGCAAATACTACATCCGGCGGGACCTTTCCACCAAACCTAACGACACTTTAGATCTCATTCTCGAAAATCACGTATCTAGAATTTCATACAGCAAACAATTGAAATTTCAATGAAACGATGAACCGATCTAAGTTAGGACATTGAAAATCTGAAAGCACTGGACAGCCGATTCGTCATAGTATAGGACTCTTCGGAAGTCCATATTCACGATCCTGCACGCGGAGCTTCAATCCAGAACTCCCAGTTTTGAACGCGAACGTCTAATCTCCAGACCAATTAGCCGGCATTCAACAGTTGTTCAACTTAGATCGGTTTATGATTTGGATGAAGCTCAACAACCCCCACAACCCAATACAGAAAAACATAAGAAAATGTTGAAGAAATACAGTCCTTGATCTGAAGCAGAGTAAAGCCCATATAATTTAGCAGAATTGATCGGTCATTATTTAGTGATTTGATAGAAAGTTTATTAGTTGCAATAGTACTCTACAGTACTGAGTGATAATTCCATACCAACTTAAAATTTTAGACATCCAACCATAAATAACTGTATTTCATGGGACTTTATTTATTTTTTGTCAACAGCTAGATTTAACTTTATAAGTACATCCTACGTATCTCTAATACTATGAAAAGTTCGAACTAAGCCAAATGTGTGTGATTTAGACTTTCATATTCTACTAATCACTACTTAGATTATAATTACTGTAAAAATTGCTTTAATGTTATGTTTATAACGAGGTTTAATTTGAAACATCTTTTTGAAAATTTCCTTCCTGACATACTAAAGTAAGGTTTGGAAACTCGAACTGATACTCAGTAACAAGCTTTTACGTTAACCGGCTAGTATCGAATAAGCACACGTCATCTTTCACAGCCCGTTACCGATTAGTATTACGAAATCGCTGGCTTTGTATTCCAATAGTCAAAGGATCTAAATGGTTAATACTGAACAACTTCAAACACTAAAACCACACAAAGGGTCTATTCCACTATACGTTTCCCTTTGGATACTTAATGTAGTGATGATACCTACTGGGACTTAAACCGAATCCCGATAGGATATCATCGTAATCTCAACACTTTCACTACCGAATAAACACGTTACAAGTGAGTTTTATGGGGAACATTTAGTGAGCACAAAATATTGTATTACAGCTGCAGACAAAAAGTTAAGAGTTCTGACCAATTCTTAAGGCTCAGACAATAATGTTAGTATACTGTAACTCATCTATGTAAACCTTAAGTATAATACCAAATACGTCAAGAACCAAAAACGCTAATTTAAAGTCATGGAACGTATATTCATCTGACTTGGAGCTTATCCAACGTCAAACCAAGATATTGAGTATCAAGCGCATCATGGTGAATTTTAGTGGAAGCATTATTAGATACTGTAAATTATGACTTGAACTAGGATTCACAGTTAGATAGGAGATTTTAGGACTAAAATTCGGCGTTAAGTAATATTTATGATATGAAGAGAGCCTATGGTTACGATTTAATAGTTAAAATATAGATCAATTGCAAAACTAACTGAGACTAAAGACTAGTTGTGTGTATGATTAAAGTTTATGGGTCATGATAAACATAAACCCTAAATAACAGCTCGAACACCGATCCTGACCGTAAAATTTAACGGCCAATAACCAACGTAAAAATGTTTAAAGGTCATGTGAAGACAGTAAATTCCATGTTAGTTTTTTTCGATTTCTTATAATAGTTTATTTATTCACATTATCTCCCAACTCCTTGGTTAAAACAGGTAAAAATTTCAGGGCTACAGGAGAGTATGTTTTAGATTTATCGTATGGTATATAAACGATTATTCGATAATGAGGTCAGCACACATAAAACTAACCACAAACACGTAACTTGACTGTTCCATCTCCTTAATGTAGTGACCAACACACAGTAAACATTCCAGTTTTTATACTATAGCTATTGGTATAGTATCATGAGCTGACTGTCATATTTTATTATCTTATAGTATTCGACAGGACTGATCACCTGTGGGATATCACACAAAATCCAAGTTAGGACCTCGCAATTTCTGCGTAGTGATCAACGACTGGGACTCGCCAGAAGTAGTGGCGTCATATCCGTCAGGAAGGAAACTTAAAAAATAGTAACCAGGAATCACAAAATGCAAGCATCTACTTGTTGTATTTAAATCACTGCGATGGATACTGTACAGGGGTTTATTAACATTAGCTTGATAAAAGTACTGGCCTAAAGCTAACAGTAGGCCCGTGGAGATGTTGACCGGATATACTAGAATGAGTAAGCATCATTTGGAACTCAAACATTGATTAGAAACACTAAATTTGTGTTCAAAATATGATCTACGATAAAATAGCTAGTTCCAGCTGGTTGTGTGGGGACAAATAATAAAGACAAATTGATATATTCTTTGCGTAAAGTCCACCCTATGTATGTTTGCGTTCATCTTGAAGGTATCTTGAATGCTGAAGGAGTGTGGGGAGCAGTATTTTAGAGCATGTGAAAAAAATATGAACACCTGCGCCGGTCAAAAAATCCACAGGCAGTTGTAATACGTGTAATCAGCAGTCACTGAAAGGCGGAGAAGACCTGAAACCACAACACACAATGTTAACCGAGAACTTCACGCCAAGAGAGAACACGGAATTGAAGCCAAGTTTTATTTGAAAATTAGAATCCGCGGTACATGTACAAAAGGGATGGCTGGTTTACAAAATAGTCGGGGATCGAACGAGGAAAATTTAGAAAGGGCCGTGCTAGAGCTGATGGAATTTAACTCAACTCCCAATCGATGTCATGGGGGGAGGCACAGCCAGATGCGATCATCCACTACGTTTGCATTACGCAACTTACGACGACCTCAGGATGACGTGATAACCGTGCACTACAACCGAATAAAACCAGATCGGGTGACAGTTCCCTCTGATACTCGGTTCGCCGATCCACCTCCTGCCACTAGGTTTTATGAGGAACAATCAGAAGAAGTTGAAATCACCATGTATGATGTTAATGGATTCTGTTTTTTTTCAATTGAAATGTGACCAAGGATAGAAGCTTTCGAGGAAGAAGTAGAGCAAGCCCTGTGTGTACTGAACTTCGGAAACGCTTCAGGGGTATCGTCCACTGATGGAGGTCGCGAGCACCTGAAGGTCAAACTGTCGTTAGATGATTAGTGCGCCACATCGATAATTCGTGAAGTTTTGCAGAAGCGGTCTAATCAAGACACTTTTAGATTTGAATTCAGTTCAGCCACACTATGTCTGATAACGTCCATCCTTCAAGTAACGAAGACGATGCCGTCATGATGATGCATGATATAGCACGAATCTTCAGTGATATTATGTTATCGCGACGATTTGCAAGTTGTGACAATTTCTAGGCTTGTTTGAAAGGAGTACATAAGGTAGTATGAATTCTGTGGTTGATAGTTATTTTCGTAGTACACGCATACTAAGGACGTTATGTCAATATGTAAACAGAACAATGATGACCCAAATCTAAAGTATTTTTTCGTGAGATATGTCTGTTGTAGCACGTACTATCAGCGTTTACTTGAAAGCAGCAGCGATCTGAAACACAACACAACAGTCAGGACCGGTAAATGCCACTGAAGTTAGAAGACGGCGTACTGGCACAACAGAAATATATTTAAAATTGAAAGACGCGGTTGAAGTACTAAAAGGGAAGCTTATTACAGAATGGGTTTATTGATTGTTCTGCCGGTTCAGTTTGCGTAAAGCTTGTTCCTCTTCTTCTAGTACGTTTACTCTTTGTTTCCCTGCAACAAGGAAAACAAACTCGCATTAGTAACGTCACATGTGATGATTTTTAATACCGTTACACTACCCCCTCTCTTTCTGAGGCACTGTCCTCAGTGCCTGGTGCTAGGCGTGTGTATGCTACCCCTCCTTCTGGTGGCACTTCATAATGGCTGACGGCAGTCGGGGGGTGATAAACGGGGTATCTAAGTGAACCATTGTTCTGTCTGGCTTCAGTCGGTTGTAGTGTGTTGTTTTAACATCGTCTTGGGGCCGTTG